TGTGGAATTGGCAATGACTACTTTGACACAACCCCTCATGGTTTTGAAACACATACATTACAAGAGCACAACTTAGCCAACTACTTGTGAGTATTGATACTAAATAGTTTCTGCTGGGACAGGTGTTTGTCATAGACTGTGCTTGTTCCTGGCTAAGACTAAGCGCTGCTTACCTTTTCAAGGACACAGAACTGCAACAATTTCTTTTTTACAATTTAACTTTTCAACATACAAATAAATATGGATAAGAGTGACTCTACCAGTATCTCAAGCTATTACTATGTTTCTCACTTTCCCTTCCAGCAGAAATTGTCCATACTCAGTGGTCCCCTGCTGTTCTCTACCCATCAAGAAATCTGCTAACACCAGGGTGACCAGTGATGTGCAGTATCATGACATTAGAGGTTGGGCCTCCTCCTGTCTAACCTCTCCTAGTAACAAATAAGCTCTAGTAGAGTTGGGGGCATGTGTGATTTGACACTTCTCTATTTTTCAGAGAAGCAACAATGTCTGGCTCCCAGTAAATTAATATCTCACTCTGGTAAAGCATTTGTTCACAAACCAGGTACTAAGAGCCTATTAAGTGCCATGGACTTAGAGAATATTGTATAAATCCTGTAAGGTAAAATGTTCATAATTTATTCCATAACTAGATTCTTTGTTAGCCTATCATTTTCCCTTGCTTTCTTTCATTTTCTTAATCCTAAATGGTTTTAAATCAGGAAGAGTGTCAGGACTGTATCCTTTCCTTCATACCTATTCAATCTTTATGTGGAGCAAAGCATTCGAGAAGTAAGACTCTGAAAAAGAATGTGGCATCAGATCGAAGGAAGAATCAACCTTGCTCAAAGTGAAGAGTACGTCAAATACTTGGTACAGAAATAAAAAAACTACAGCCTTAAATATGGATTAAATCTCAACATCAAGATGACAAAAATCCTCACTACTGGACTGGTAAGCAACATCACGATAGAGAAAAGATGGAAAGTGTCAGTGATTTCATCTTATTGGGATCCACAATCAACACCTTTGGTACCAACAGTTAGGAGATGAATTGCATTGGGCAAGCCCTCAGTTGTGGACTCTCTGAAGACTAAGGTGCATCTGATTCAGGCCATGGTATTTGCAATCACTTGATTGGTCATCCTTATTCATCTTCCAGCTTTCAGATGCCTAAGAAAAACTGTTGCCTTTGAAATGTGGCACTAGAGAGGAGTACTGAATATCCCATGGCTTGCCAGAAGAACAAACATCTTTGTCTTGGAAAAGGTGCAGCCAGAGTGCTCCTTCGTGGGAAAGATGGGCATGCTGCCGGGAGAAGCTGTTCCTTGGAAAATGCACAACATGCTTGGAAATGTGGATGGTCAGTAAAAGAGAAGAGCCTTAATCAGATGGACACAGTGACTGCAAGGATGTCAGAGATGATGAGGATGGCACAGGATAGGACAGGGTTCAGACCTGTTGTTCAAAGGGTTGCTATGAGTCAAGAGTTGACTCAGTCGCACCTAACAATCTCTTACGATGGAAATTTTCCTTTGGGAAATTTGTTTACTGTCAAAAAACATGCTAAACTCCTACTATTCCTTATATCATGAGAATTTGTCATTTTCATCTCATTATGAGTTTATATATTAATGGAAGCAACTATGATGTATGTCTAAGGGAGATAAAGCCATGGGCACAGGTCTAGATTAAACAGAAGAGCAAAAGGCTGTTGTGGTATCTGGATTGGAACTCCCTATTCGGTCTTTCCCTCTCACACCCTGCAGCATTTTCTTCTTTGTCCTCCAACAGCCGTGAACATAAGGCAAGGTAACCTATGGTTGAACCTCCCACTTAAATAGTGTTCTGTCAGTTGCATAAGTATGTGCTGAAAAAGGAGAAATGGCCAACGTGATCAACTGGCACTACTTTCATCCTTAATCTTGAAAAGTGAAGGCAATCAACATAGACTTAATAGCTTCAGACACTGGCCGCTGTAGGAGCTTTAAAATAACCTGAGTGTGCGCAGAATCCAGGCCCAGGTGCTCTCAGTCAGCAGCAGAGTGTTATTTCCCACTAGCCACTTCCTCAAGGATGTGGACTGTGAAAATTGTCCCTGAGCTCACATAAAATGAGCTCATCAGCCCTCGGGGACACTTGTGTGTCACAGAGGACTCTAATCCAGACACTATCACAGGAAATTCAAGTGCAGATACACTGGCATTTCCCTGTGGTCTGTAAGCAAAACATAACTATACTTCTAGATACTCAGTGCATCTTTTTTTATGGTAAATAAGGTGCTAAATTAGCCTGCAAGAAGATGTAAGAGATCATGAGTCTGAATAGTTCACTGAGTATAAAATCCCAATAGAAACTATAAAACAGTAGAGCCAAAATTATGATTCCCGTGTGGTCTTATCTAAAGGATTCTCTCTCACTCACTGTTGCTGAGTCAGAACCCCATAGCTGACCCTCCAGCAGGTTTCTGCAGCTGGAAATCAAACCAGAGTTTGCTTGTCTTTCTCCTGAAGGTTGGGGATGGACAAAAAAATGAATTCTCATAAAGAAGGCTAATTTTAATATAATGATGTTTGTAGTTTCTCCAGTTTGGACAGACATATAGATAGCAGAGGCTAAATAATATTTGTGAACCCCTTCTCTTCAGTGCACTTGATTGAGCGAATGAACTTAGATTTCTCAAGTATCTAATATTTTCTTTTATCTCATTAATCTTTTATCCAGGTTCTTTTTGATGTATTTGATTAATAAAGATGAGACAGAGCACACAGGTCAGGTAAGAAAAAAAAATCTAACAATCATACCCTTTGTGTTACCTCAAGATACAGCATGATTTTGATCCAGTTTCCCCAATAGGCCTTTTCTTTGGATATTTGTTTATAGAAGGACTAGATTTATATGTAGTAGAGCTTATCTGAAACAGTAAGAAGTAAGATTTCTATTGTCCACTGACAACCCCAATCTATTCCAATAATCCTCCTCCTGGTTATCTTTTCCCAGCAAATTCTGTTCTTTTTCAACCCTTATGGTTACTGTCCCAGAGTAGAATAGCTGGAGGTGGGAAGAGCATTACAGAAAAAAAAATTACAGAAACAGAACGGGTGGGTGTGACAAAGATCAGGAGAATTGGAGGAAAGTGAAAATATGTGTCAAAAAGAATACTGTGACTCACTATTAAAGAAGTATATCAAAGACTATTAGATTAGTAGCAAAACTTCGTGGATCAAATACTTGACTAAAGGAAGAGGCAGTTGGTTTTCCAGATCTAGCTTTTTAGCATTTCTTGCGTCTGCTCAAGCTAGCACTAAATGTTCCCTGGGCATGCATTCTTCTAATCAATTACAAACGGCATGGAATCATCATATTGCTAATCTTTAAGTATTTTTAGAGACAGATATTGGATTGATTTCATTTTGGGTAGATGAGTTATCTTCCCCTGCCAGCATGGCCAGATAGCCTGGGCTGGGTAGAGAGCAACAGAGAACTGAACTTGCACAGCAGTGTTCCTAAGAGATGACAAGGAGAAAAACTTGGGTTTGTTTTAAAAGAAGCACCCTGTGTTCACATCATTTCAGGAATCTTATGTCTGGAAGATGTACCAAGAGAGGTGTTGGGACTTCTTCCCAGCTGGTGACTGCTTCCGGAAACAATATGAAGATCAACTTGGATAATCTGAATGATAGAAGTTTCATAGTTCAGGACGGTCAGCTTTCACTGAAAGAAAATCTTCCTTTTACAGTTCTGCAACATATTTAAAATGTGACATTTTCTAAATGCCCCCTTTACAAGTGTTTGTTAAAAATCTGTGATATTTTTGAAACTGATTTGGCTCTTTGTGCCTAATGGACATACACTGTGGGAGAGAACCTGTCAGCTTTTTTTTTTTTTTAAAAAAAAAAAAAAAAGGATGGCAAATCAAGAAATGCCTTCAAGTTGTTCAGTTCTAATGTAACTAGTTTTTCAGGGTGGCAGCACAGAGGAAAGGGCTAGAAAGGTGAACATCTTAATGCGCAGTTTCTGAAATTTTAAACATTTGGATGTTATATGACAGTGTCCCACTAGTGATTCATTGTCTGAACTACAAAAACACACATTTTAACTGCAGTCTAATTTTCCTCATGGTACTTGCTAGTGAATGTATCCAGAATCAGCTTAAAAACTTTAAGCAGTTAAAGAAATAGGAAAAAAAGAAAAAAATTCAACACTTTGTCGACACTGAACTATCGATTAAGTGCCTTACAACCTCTTTAGGTATAGCTATGCAAGTTTTTTATGTTTGTGTTCTAGATGGACAGGTCTATTAATTAGTTGTATTGATCTTACTTTATGAAACTGCACTTGAAGGTTATTTACATAATTTTTTCAGTAACAGCTTGTCAACTGCTGTTATTAGAAGAAAGGTACTGTACTGAAATTCAGAAAAATCTCAATCTTATGCCAAAATTGAGTAATGCTTTAAGGTCCTTTGTAAGTAGTGAAGCCACTACATTTTAGGTGAATCTCAACAATGAAGTGCCCATTGCAATAAAGTAATATACACCAAACCATGGTCTGGCTTCTACTGTGTACCACCTCTAGTTGATATTACAGCCATACTGTGGCAAGGGGGGACAAACACAATGTCAGGAAAGATGAAAACAGTCCACAGACTAGCACTTGTTTATTTTGACCAACACATGCCTTGTTTGCATATATTCTCTTAATTGGCAGCACCTGAAAGGCTGTAAACATTGAGGGGAAGGAGCCTGAAAACAGACCAAACAGTAACAATAATGCCTCTGCCCTTAAGTCTGATAGGGTTCTAAACCAGAAAACAAGGGGGCTGAGCCTCTTAGATGTAGAATTTGACATGTTGTCAAACAGAGGTAGGCGTATACTGTGGTAAGCCTTACAGAACGGCTGGGCTCGGGACATGCTTGTAAATGAGTTAATCTTAAACTACAGCCTTGGTCTCATTCTTAGGAGGAAACAAACATTTTTCTCAGGTACTTTTCCATTTTTTAGGAAATCATGCTGTCCAGCCAGTCTTCCAGCTCTTCCTCAGTCACAGTTTTTGATGTATGTGGTTGCACAGATTCCACATTCTTCTCTTCAGTCACAGATGGTTTTACAGGAACTGGGGAAATAAAAGCAATGTTAAGAACTTCACATTAGCCTCAAGAATCGTGGCTTAAAGCTTCCCTAGGGCTGTTCCCTGATATAATTCAGTCCGAGTTATTACTTTCCTTCCAACAAGGGGGAACATTCTCATTATTGCTCCTAATCCCTAAAAAGATATAACAGTGTCTAAGCAAACTAATAAATAGGGTAGAGATTTATTTAGAGGGTGAATTTCACAGTTCACTGGGTGTGTGTTTTTAAAGAGTAACAGCTCATTTTTCTTTTTACTAGTAGAGCAATCACATATTTATTATAGGTTCCTAAGTATGGCTACTGTCGTGATCATTGCCTGAAGCGTCTTGGGCCACCATTATCACAGAACATGAAGGAAGTGTTCATTTAAAAAAAATTATAATAATAAATCAATGGAGCAAGAAATAAGTAAGAAGAGTTGGCTAACAGGCCCTGTTCAGACAGTCGATTAAAAGGTTTGCTGTGGAAAAGCTGGAGGCTACAAGTATCTTAATGCATTTTTATAGCAGAAGTTCAATTTCCAGCCTCAGTTTTAATACCACAACCAGGCTTTGGAAGTGGGCATATTGAGTGAGAAGCACGTTGTCAGAAAGGTCAGCTCAGGGGGAAGCAATGATGTAAGCCCAGAAATAGATGTCAGTGGACAGCACCGGATCGATGTCAGACACCACTAGAGACGTGTGCGGCCGTGATCGGGGAGGGGCTGATGCTCAAAACCCTAGTGCAGAGGGATGGGAATGACAGGCCAGCTGTACCTTCGTCCTCTTGGGCCACCTTCCCGTCCTTCTCTGATTTCACGTCCTGAGATGTCTCCTCTGGTAGGATGTCACTGCTCTCTTTTACAGGTGCATCTAAATTAAGCAGCAGATCAAGTTCTTCTTCCAAATGGTCTGCTGCTGCTGCGGACTGTGGCATGCAGGCGGGTTTCTGAGAGCCCTGGAGAGGCACTGGCCTTGAGCTCCCTCTGCCCGGGTACAGGGAGCAGCCAGCGGCAGATTTCAGCTCAGAGGTGGACCCGATCAATCCAGAGCCCAGAGGACCTTTTAACTGCATCCCTAGTCCTTTGCTGTCATCATTTCTTTTTGGTTTCACCTGAGGAAGCTCTAAAGGAACCGAGGTCTGAAAGAGAAGCATCACAACTGAGTCAAGAACAGGAACTTTGTTGGACATGCTTAAGTATGAACAAAAGAGAGCAGCCCCATTGTATTGAGGGTAGGAAACCCAACTCGGGAAGTTCACAGGCGCTTCTATTCTGGCCCTGCCCAGCACCTTTTTGTACTGTTTTGGGTAAAGGTGGGAAATCTTGCTGGAAGAAAACTGGATTCTGCTTTTCATTCTACCCACCTCAACTATGTATCACTTATGTCAAAGTAGAAATTTAAAGGCTATTTTTTTTCTATCCCTCTTCTGTCAGTTTATATTTAAACAGGGAGGAAAACTTCAAAGTTGATAAAAATCACCAAGAACTAGCTAGCAAATCAGAGCTTAAGTACACTGATATCAAGTAAGGGACAAATGGACCCAAAAGAAAATGTTACCCTGAATAACATCATTTGAATTTTGTTGTTGAATTAAACAACACACATACACACACACACACAAAAAGAAAACAACCAACAACCCAGCCAGACACTGAATAAAACGTATGATCTTGAATATAGTTGTAAAAAGTTCAAAAGCAAGCAAAACTAATCTCCAGCAATAGAAGTGAGGCTAGTGGCTCCCTCTGGGGGCGGCGGGGACTAGGAGAGTCTGCAGACGCTTGCTCCAGATGCTAATTCCCTGGCTGTAAACACTCATCTCCTTTATGGTATAAACGTCATACTCAATAAAAACTTCGACAGCCTAGAGCAGTGCAATGTACAGGTGACGTTGAGGACCACTGCTCAAGAGAGAAGCCTGCATGACCCTCAGAATGAGGGTCATCTTCGATGTGTCGCACTGTGCCCCCATTTTTACACTTAAGCATCCTGAATAGATCCAATCTGATAAAAACAAAAACCCAAACACAAAACTTTCCTTAGGTCTTTTTCAGGTATTAGTGGCAATATAGTTTTGTTTACAAATCTTAAAAGACTGCTAGCACTGTCACTGCACAGAACGTGGCCCTCAAAGCCACTCCTGCAATAATTTAACCCAGCTGGGTTAAGTGTCTGGCATTGTTTTTATTCCTTTGGTTCCCAGATGATCCTAAAGTATAAATAAAGCTAACGACAGCATTAGGGGCGAGTGATGTTTAAACTCTTTATCTAGGTTTTCAAAGATATTACAGTGATTTTTCTGCCTCTACCCTAATAGCTTTCCCTGAAACATCCTTCACTTTTAAAAGCACACACCACTCCCCGTCTCTCCTGAGTCCAGGAGCCGCACCGCACATTTTATGCCGCTTTTTCACAGGTGTGCCCCATTAACTAGTCCTCGCTGTAGAAAACCAGGTCAGGAACTCTAAATACAGCTGGACCTCTGGCACAAAAAAGCCATGAGTCACAAAGACCACCTCTGATACCTTCAGACTTTTCCAAAGGACCCACAGGACGCTGATGTTAGAGGTAAGAGTGGTCCTCTGCGCTGTCCTCCAGCCTGCGCTGCGCACAGGGCTGCACACAGGTGCCCCAGCTTCTGAAAGTTAGTACAACGCAGCAGCGTCTGGGGGAGTAATTACCTCGCTGCTGCACATACTTGGCATCACATTCTGCTCTCGTAAGGTGTCAATTTCAGTTGTGTGGATTGTGTTTTATGTTAGTACTGATTTCAGTTTGGGGGGGGGAATAACTTGTGAAGTTCTTCAAAATGTCTTTGGACTGCCTCTGTTCCCAATCAGTTGATCAACTGCCTTTTAGACTTAAGTCTGCTAAATTTATATTATAAATGTATTCTATGTCTTTCTTAATCCTGAGCTACCAATGGCTACATCCAGTTGCCTAATGTTTCCGCTTTGACATCTCAGTAGCACAAATGTATAATGCCCAGGCGCAGCACAAGTAGGAAACCTAGGGTTCTTCTCTGATCACTGCACCCTCAGTTCCCAAGATTACACCAAAATCCCTTCATTTTACCTCTGAAATATTTGTCATAGATTCTCCTTCTCTGTAACCCTACTGTCACTGCCAGAGAACAAGCCACAGAGTTACTCACTTGGACTCAAGCAATGTCCTAGTTTGGCTCCATTTCCATACTCTTCTCTGTTCATATGGGGCTCTATTCCACATCGGAGCCCCTAATCCATCCTTTACCTTGTAGCAGAATGGTCTTTATTATCACTGCCACTATTACGGTTTTTATGAATTCAAATCTGATTGGCTCACCCTCCTTTGAATTTCAGTTCAAATGTTCTTGAACTTTAGAGCATGTTTATCACTTCTTCAAGAAAGCCTTCTCTCCCCATTCCAAAGGAGATCTGGTTCATGCTTTATGCACTGTCATAGCACACAGCATTTTCTCTTCCACGGTACTTATCACAGTTTATGTATTTATGGGATGATACATATTCATCCTTCCCAATAGCTGAAACTCCATGGCAACAAGACCCAAGTCTGTCTGCTCACTGTCATAGCCCCAGTGTCTAACACAGAATGTGGCACATAAATATTTTGGTTATAACAGTAGCAAGACTTTATACTTTTACATTCATGCACTCTCATTCCATTTGATCTTTAAAAAGGTTTTCACATAAAATTAATGGAACAGACCTTTAAAAATCATTTCATCCTTTGAAAATTGCATGTAAGTTTTGTCCCCTTATACCAAAATCTTCAGCTTGACGGGAGGGAAAGCTGAGTCCATGCCACCCTGCAGAGAATGGCTTTTCCTCCTCCTCCTCCCCTAATCCTCATCAGCTGACAGATGACCTCAGCATTTACCTGGACCAGTTCAGCAGCAACGTTGAGTCGGAGTGACAGAGGCAGTTCTTGAAGAGCTTGAACCAGTGATTCACAGTCCACATAAAGGGCTGAATTCTGAATTTAAAAAAAAAAAAAAAAAGTGAAAAAAATGCAGGTAATGATGAAATATAACCTTTTGGAAATAGAAGAATAGAAGGTGATAGAAAGTAATTGTTCATAAATCATTCACTGGCGTTCCTGTGGGCCAGGAGTAAGTCACATTCATAAATCACACTTGGTGTAATGATAGTGTCTATCATCCTGCCGTCACCTCCTTCCCGAGGCCCCCTCACACCGCCGAGTGAGGCAGTGTCCAGACACACTCACGCCCAAAATGCACAGCAGAGGCCACGGGCCTGTCAACTAGAGACTTCTGGAGGTGGTGGCAAGTTGGCAGAAAAATAAGCATTTCATGAAATCTGAACAGACATCTCCTCCACCTTTAGCACGCTGGCCTTGGGGCGAGGAGGGAAGAGCTTTCTCCACAGGGTGATGAGGCTGACAGGCACAGCCCAAGGAACTGAGGAGATCTGCTTCTCTTCAAAGCAGAAAGCAGGGGCAGAAACCCACCCTGCACCCAGGAGGAGTCTATGTGAGGTCAACATGAAAAGCTTCCTTTGACTCATTTCCTGTTTCTAACAATATCGTATCAATGCACTGACCTCCCAAATTGGAACTATTTGAAAATGTATTCCAAATTATCTCATAGTCCCTGGACAGCTTCCTCCAGGTGCTCTGGCCACCCAAGAGAGAGGGGGGGAAAAACCCTAAAAGATAGCCATCGTGATTTCACAAGTAAGATGTAACCACCACCTAATATCTACCACGGATCAGCACAAGGCCCAGCCAGGACTGCATCTTATCCTACAACCACTGACTTCAAGTTAGAGGAAACTCAATGAGGTCCACTAGATTGTACAGGGATGTCTCCAGGAGATGTGTTTCAAAAGACCAGGCCGAGTTATTGCTGGTATGCTCACAAGGTGTGCTGCCCCTAAATCCAGACCCACCCTAACCACTAATCCACACAACAGGAGCCCAGTGAGGCTTGAGCTGGGTTTCCTACTCCCCGTCTGACATTTCATCGAGATGGACACCCCTAGGGAGGCAAACCTGGCAGCACCTAAATTTCCCCTGACCTTTAAGAGGGAATAACATTGTTTTTTAAATAACATTTGTAAGGTATTGTGTATTTAAAGAACAGGAATCAAGAAGGTTAAAAAAAGGCCTTAAGGATAAAGCAGGACATATGTTCATGCCTTCTCTTAGCCATGAACATAGAACACTAAGTGCTCTCAGCAACACCAGCATGGCCACTTTGTTTTTCCGAGTTTGGAAAAATTCCTCTCAGACACACTAGGAATTTGTGCTCCTGAATTTTAACACATGGAGAGGTCACGTCAATACAAACTGGGAATCTCACCCTTCCCACAACTCCCTGCTGGCTATTTGCAAAGCTCTGCTGTGTTGTGTTACTAACTCCTTCTATCAGCCTATGAAAGTGAGAGCTTCAGCTCTTGTGATTCCCACATCGCTCTCTGACTTCCCTACAAAAGTAACACTGAGCAATACTGGGGATGACCTAAAGTGTCCAGGCTTCTTTGGTCCTCTTTTCTGTCACAAGCAAGCTCTCTGCAAAGTAAATTATAAACAAGGTAAAGTTATAAAACCACACAAAAAATAGGTCACCCAACTGACGTCTCTGTTATAACTTCTACCACAAAAGATCTCGTCCCACTTGTCCAAGGCCAGCTAACACTCTATCACCTGAATGTGCCTTTCCAGACAACTCGAACCACAGAGACTGTCCCCTTGCTCAGAGCTGGCATATAACACCACTCTTTTTTAGTAGATGGTTTTTGTGGGTTGCTGGGGTTTGTTTTTTTTTAAGAGGTTTACTGTTTTGTCTCCTAAAAGGTTAAAGCCAAATGCCTTATGCATAAAGTTAGCTAATGTGTTGCTGCTAGGAGGTACCAGTCCTTAGAAAAGGATATCATACTAGGGAGGCAGAGGCAAAAAAAGAGGAAGCCTTCCAACGAGATGGAATGACACAGAGGATGGCAGCAATCATGAGGATGGCGTAGGGTTAGGGTACAGTTTGATACTTAGTTCAGACTTGCTATGAGTTGCAGATGACGCAAAAGCACCTAATAGCCACAAAAGTGACTTGCTTTTACTACCAAAACATGAATTTTAAAACAAGTAGGGCAGGGTTTAGACCGTTGCTCAGAGGGTCGCTGTAAGTCATGGTTGGATGGCACCGAACAACAGCAACATAATCTGAACAATGGGCATAAATTAGCTTTTGACATTATATTCATATAGCTTCTGGCTTCATTTTTGTAACCAAATCTGTACAATTCCTCCTTCATTGTTTCCAACTTTTCAATTCCAATCACAAATCATTAACACATCTTGATCGTGTTTATGGTCAATTTCAGACTGCAAAATTTAGTGAAAATCCTCAATGTCATTAGAGAAGCTGGTCTCCATGAAGAATGTGGAATCAGGATTGAAGGAAGACACCTCAACAATCTGTTATGAAGATGACACAACCTTACTTGCTAAAAGTGAGGAGGTCTTGAAGTGCTTGCTGCAGAAGATCAATATGGATTGCATCTCAGTATTAAGGAAAAAAATTCTCACCACTGGACCAATAGGCAACATCATGATGCTGTTGTTGTTGTTAGGTGCCACAGAGTCAAGTACGACCCAGAGGGCTCCTATGAACAACAGACCTGAACCCTGTCCTATCCCATGCTATCCTCACGCTTCCTGACACGATAGAGGCCACTGTGGCAGTCATCATGTCAATCCACTTGGTCAAAGGACTTCTCCTTCACTGACTCTCCACCTTTCCGAGGAACAGCCTCTCCTAGCAACATGCCTGAAGTATGTGAGGTGAAGCTTTATCATCTTTGCCTCCAAAGAGAACTCTGGCTGCACTTTTCCCAAGACACATTTGTTTGTTCTTTTAGCCATCCATGAATGTTCTGTACTCTTCTCCAACACCACAACTCAAAGACACCAATTCTTCTGTCATCTTTACTTATTGTCCAGCTCTCAAGATGCACAGCAAGTGATCCGAAAAACTATGTCCTGACCAGATGCACCTTCTTCAAACTGATAACATTACTCCTCAATAATTTGGAGAGGTCCCTAACTGCAGACTTTTCCAGTGCAATACACCTTTTGATTTCCTAAGTGCTGGTACCAAGGGTGTTAATTATGGATCCAAGAAAGATGAAGTTGCTGACAGTTTCAATCTTTTCTCCATCTATCATGATGTTGCCTATTAGTTTAGTCGTAAGAATCTTTGTTTTCTTGATGTTGAGATGCAATTCATACCAAAGGCTATATTCTTTGATCTTCTACAACAAGTGCTTAAAGTCTTCCTCACTTTTAGCAAGCAATGTTGTGTCATCTGCATAATACTGCATAATATTGATGAGTCTTCTGATTTTGATGTCATATTCTTCTTCACAGAGTCCAGCTTCTAAAATAATTTGCTCAGCATATAGACTGAATAGGTATGGAGAGAAAATCCAACCCTGGCACTCCCTCCTTATTTGTAAACCATGTGTATCCCCTTGCTGTGTTTGCACAACAGCCTCCTGGTCTAGGTATATCATGATGTTGTTGTTGTTGTTGTTATGTGCCGTCGAGTTGTTTGCGACTCACAGCGACCCTATGTACAACAGCCCTAAACCCTGCTCTATCCTGTGCCAATTGCATTGCCTCTGACATACTCATCCCGATTACCCCAGTCACTGAATCAATCCACCTCATAGAGGGTCTTCCCCTCCTATGCTGTCCCTCTACTCTACCCAGCATGATGTCCCTCTCCAAAGACCTGTCTCTCCTTGCAACATGTCCAAAGTATGTCAGACGAAGCCCCAGAATCCTTGCCTGGTTGAGACCTCTCTAGGATGAATCTGTTTGTTTTCTTGGCAGTCCATGGTACATTCAATACTCTTCTCCAGCACCACAGCTCAAAGGCATCAATTCTCCTTCTGTCATGATAGATGGAGAAAATAGTGACATTGTCAATTATTTCATCTTACTTGGATCCACAATCAGCATCCTTTGAACCAGCAATTAGGAGATAAGGAGAAGTATTGCGTTAGAAAAACCTGCTGTCAAGACCTCTTCAAATTACTGAGGAGTAATGCTGTCTACTTGAAGATGAAGGTGGCCTGATTCACCCCCTGATCTTTTCAATTAGTTGCTATGCATCTGCAAGCTAAACCATGAATAAGGATAACAGAAAATGAATTGGTGCCTTTGAGCTGCAGTGTTAGAGAAGAGTACTGAGTATCCCATGAGCTGTCAAAATGTCTTGGGGAAAGCGCACCCAGAATGTTCTGTGGACACAAAGATGCTTAAGTTTTGTCTCGCATACTAAAGCCATGTTGTTAGGAGAATCTGTTTCTTGGAAAAGGGCACAGTGCTTGGAAAGGTGGCGGGGAGACAAAGAGACAACATGGAATGACACCGATGCAGCAGCGGGCTCACGTATGCTACAAATGATGAGGACAGCACAAGATAGGACAGGGTTCAATCTGTTGTTCACAGGGTAGCTACGAATCATACTTGACTCAATGGCATCTAACTGACAATTCACAGAGGTGTTTGTGGTTTTTTGTAAAATTATGGGTTGTTTTGAGCCCCTTTACTGATGTAGTCAGCCTTGATGGTCACTCTCAACTGGAGTAGGTAACATGGCTAATAGGAACCAGAGACCATCCACTGGAGTGCTATTATGAGTCAGTGTGCAGAGAACGGAGGGGCACCCCGATGCTTCTCTCCTCTAAACTCTGAAGCTGAGAGATAGCAACCAGTATGACCACTCAAGGAAGGAAAGTCTCTGCACTCACATACTGTCAATATGCACAGAGCCCTGTGTAGGTGCTGAGAGTGTGTCATCTTCCAGGTTGCTCTCTGGCCAAGAAGCTGGTGAGCTCTGGTATAGACCCTGGTGAGGAGAGAACTGCTGGAAGCTTCACTGTGCAGCTAAAAAGAGGAACCTTTAATCACTCTGACAGCTTTCTCCGGAGTCCCAGCACTCACTGTCAGCATTTGTATGGGGCCCAGGGGCCATGTTTACACCTTACAGTAAAAGTACAAGAATCACTCGGGGAGATTTCCAAGGCAGATTCTCGGGCTTCTCTCAGAAGGGGACCTGAGAATTTGCAACTTGAAAAATCAGGCATTCAAGGAAGACTGCCAATCACTAGTTCCTCAAGGAATGTCTATTGAATAGAAGTCATGTCAACAAAAATCTTTTTTTTTTTTACCCCAACGATATTATCCTCCCTATTAAGAGAACAGTTCAAAAGTAATATATTATAGGGTTCTATGATTATCTTAAGAGTCCAGAATGAAGGTTGCAAAGTGGAGTATACTCGGGGTGGTGCAGGGGACAGGGAGGTTGTTTGTAGGGGGATTATATACCAATGAAGGAATTTTTCTTTCACTCTTCAAACAGAAGAGTGAACTGGGGTGGGGGATGGGCAGGGAGAAAAGTGCAACAATGAATGAAAATAAAAATCTCTGTAAATGTTCATTAAAATTAATAATAATGAAACACTTAAAAAAAGAGAGTCCTTTTCATAAACCATCCCCCCCTCCACTGTTTAAAGGAATGGCATGAAAATCCTTGCTTAAATGAATTGTGCTGTTTAAAAAATTCCACCCTTGGATCTAATGGACCAACTTCCCAGGCTGCATCCTCTTCATCCTGTGTGGCTACCACAAAGGAAGGATCTGCAAAGCCAGGAAGAGAGACGACCTCCTGGAATTCCCTGAGGACTTCAAATGGACTCCAACACCAGGGTCCCATTCCCTTTATGTTATATGAGGTTTCTGAATTCACTTAAAGACTTCTGTAATAATATCTCTAGTTTCCCAATTATAAGAATTACCTAAAGCTTTAGGAAGAATAAGGATTTCTGCATGTAACACCATAAACTGTGGCAAAAATATCGTCTCACCTCTCAATGGAGCTGTTACAGAGCAGTGAGAGGGAAAGCCGTGGGGCACAGTAATGCACTCAGAACCATGACACCACATCTCCATCTTGAAATGGTTTTTTTTTTTATGTAATTCACACAAATGGCTAACAACAAAGGTGAACTCCAGATTCCAGCATCTGAACCATTTTGTGGTGATCTTGTAATGTGTCATCAAGTTGTCTGCAAGTCACAGCGACTCCGTGTTCATTAGCTCTGAACCCTGCCCTGCCCTGATCCAATCTCATCATCTTAATCCCATTTCTCCAGTCACTGAGTCAATCCATCTCATCCTGAATCATATTGGTGTACTGAATATGTTCTAAACAATTTAGGTAATCAAGAACACACTACATGCATCGTAAGATTCTATTCCCTGTGACCTCAGCAATAAAGTAAAAGGTGTTAGACATTAGCCTTGAGAGGAAGCCAATCAACAGTCAAGAAACACTGTCATTTTACCTGTTTGGGACATGAAGCTTCACCATCCCATTCTTTCTCCTCAGCAAACCGGAACTGTGAGAAGGAATCCCCTAAGAGTAGAAAAACAAAATGTATCCTGTTACATAAAGACCATAAAAATCTTGGTACTCTAAATTTTCTTGCATCCAAAAGCAAAAGAACCATTTCTGAAGATCTAAATTCGCCAAATTCTGTGATTATTATTCAAAGGAAGGTCTCGGTTTCCACACTTTTTCACATAAGTAATCTTTATATGGATGGTATTAAAAATATTTTTAGCAATTGAATCGTGGTCTCATTCAATGCTCCTAAGCCACCATCTAAGAAGTATGTGCTTTTTTAAAGTTTTGTTTTATTAATGAACATTTACAGATATTTTGGATTATTAGTATGTGCTTTTTGAGAAATAACTGTATAGTAAAAACCAGCAGAAAAAACTGTTTGCCCTTATCTGGCACATTTTCATCTACCTCTTAAGAGTATACAAAAAACCTTTATTAAGAGGTGGTAAACAAAGCAAGAAAGAAAAGCAAGGAGAAGAAATTGAAGGGCTGTAGGTTCTAGATTGATCCACAATATAACCAATGTAAAATATTTCCTCCAGAGGTTGCTATTGTTCTGCGCTATCAAGATGCCTGCGACTCATAGCAACCCTATGTACAATAGCTCTGAAGCCTGTCCCATCCTGAGCCAGTCTCACTGACTCCAACACACCTACCCACATTGCCCTAGTCACTGTATCAATCCATCTCATCCGAGATCTTCCTCTCCTGTGCTGTTCCTCCACCCTTCTAAGCATGATGTCCTTCTCCAAGGATCAGTCCCTCCTAGACACATACCCAAGAGGTTACCAACCTCTACCATCATTCAGACATTACCTAGTACTGTAAAGTAAAAATTGAAGCTCAAATAATATATGCACTAGACCAATTTAATGTTGCACTGATTTGCGCTATTGGAATATGGGAATACAGTCATGTAAAATCACTACATACATACTTCCCAGTCTAATCATTAGTCCTTTTTCAATTATTTTACTCTGTAATGTCCATCTCTCTACCCATTCATACCTTATTTACTTTCCATCTCAGAAACAGGGCCACTCCCTTTTGTAATAGCTATCAGGTCATGTAACCATAGATTATAAAAATTATTTAAGAGCACAAATCAATAACATGGCTATTTCTGTGCCAACCAATTAATTCCAACTCATACTATAGAGTAGAATTGTCCCACCAGGTTTTCCAAAGCTGTACTCTTTATGAAAACGGACTGTCACACCTGCCACATCTTTCCCACACAGAGCAGCTAGTGGATTTAAACTGCCAATCTTCTGGTTAGCAACCCAGTGCTAAACCACCGCAACACCAGGCTCCTCACACAGTTGCTAGCACTGATGAAAAAACTTTAGTACAGCAGTGTAAAGTATAACACGGATATTTACTGTTTTATAAAATTGGCATATTCCATCCAAAGAGAAAATAATAATAATAGTGTTAAAGCAACTTCATGCCTCACACAAAAACAATTATCATACAGCTCAAAGATTTAGATGATTTAAAAAAAAAGGGATTTAGATTATTTTTTTAAAAATCATAAAATTATTACAAGAAAACAAGGCTAAAGTTCTTCAAAATCTTGGTTAAAGAGGGCATACATTAAAAACCACAAAAGTTTTGGAACCTACAAATGAAAGTTTTCTATATAAAAAAATTATAAGCAAAGCTGACACACTAATAGGAAATATTGGCAACACATATTACAAAGCTAAATCCAAAGAATTTCTCCAAATTTACTGAAATAAAACAACCTAAAAAATGAGAAAGGAGATAGTCATAAATAGAAGTAACTCTCTCTCACACACAAACACATGTATTGTTATTATGTGCCACTGAATTAGAACTCACAGCTGACCTAATAGGTTTCACAGACTGTAAATTACTTGAAAGGAAATTTCCCATCTCTCTCCCAGCTAGTGATTATATACATTTATAATATTATTTGCTTATTATATACATATAAACATGTATATATACATATATACATGCAAATAAACAAAACATGGATAAATACTAGTTTTTTAAGACTTCTAGTGGAATGAAAACTATTCAGAATAGCAAATTTGTCTTTTTAAGAGTCAAAAAATATGGAGATCCCCAAGCATGAACAATAAATCAAGTATGCTGAAGTGTGGTAGACATTATTGAGAATAAGGTCAGGAATGAAAGAAAGTAAAGGGATAAGTGAAGTCCAGGTAATGGGCACCAGGATTCTGGCCCTGAGCTGGACTAGGGTCCCACAAGAAAGAAGGAAGAAGATATCAGGCCTACTGGCAACGGGGAGACCACCATGGAGAAGATAAAACTTCATCTTCCCACTGCTCACATATACCACCAGCCAAGCAAACCTCCATCTGAATGTGTAATAAATACGTGAATCCCAGGCACAAACCTCCCCTCATGGAGAGCAGACCAACATCATCTCGAACCATGTGAGTAGGTAAGAGTCTCCAAGTTCAATAAAGCCATTTTTAATTCAGCATTGAAGAAGTGGGCTCATGTAGAGGAGGTTGGGACTAGCATATGTCTTTTCCCAACAAAACAGCAACCCTTCACAAAAAAACTAAGCCGGCTGATGTCACCAGGGAGCACTAGTACACACTCTGTCATTCTAGTAGACACCTGAGTTCCTGCCCTACAGTACCACTCTATAGCTAACTACTATGAGTGCCAGTCTAGCAAGCATTATAGTGTGATCAAAGATACAATAAAAGCAGCAGAGAGCCTCTAAATCACAGAGTATCCCTGATTTAAAGAGAGTCAGGAATTCAGAAATTCAGGGCAAAGGGTCAAAGACTCCCTCCACCAAGATATAACAAGAAAAGACAACAACTCAATGGCTCCATCTATAGGCTAACTGCTCACCATCATAATGACAATCGCCATGGCACCCTGAGCTAGAGGACCCACACATTCTACTAGAGAAAAGTTCAGTTTTATCTCTGATAAAATGTCAGAGTAAAAATCAGCATAAAAGACAAGGGCACTATATAATGCTTAAAAAGCCAATGGAACAAGTTGATACAACCTAAGAAAATATCTAAATTATTAATATGATGAAGATGATGTTCTTAGTGTTGACCTGGAACTGACTCATTAGCTGACCTTCCAAAGGGTTTTCAGAGGCAGTAAATGACATGAGAGGAGATTGCCTATCCTTCTGTCATGGAAGAGCTGGTGGATTTGAATCCTGTGTCTTTGGAATTGCAGTGCAGCTTCTTACTGCCAGATCACCAGAACTCTCTATTTATATGATAGAACTGCAAAATACACAAAAGTTAACAAACTTGTTGAAAGAAACAGCCAACACTATAAATGAGGAGACTTCAACAACCACTGTCACTGAACGGCAGGATGATCAGAAAGAAACTCAACAAAGATGCAGAAGAGGAAAATTATACAGTTAACTAACTCGACCTCATAGGCCTGTACAGAGTACTCTACCCAGCAAAAGCTCAATCTACATTCTTCTCCAGCGTGCATGGAACATTCTTCAGAACTAACATATGTTAGGAAGCAAAACAAGCCTCAATAAATTAAAAAACACTGAAATACTACAAAGCATATTCCTATACTGCAATGCTATAAAATTAGAAATCAACAAAAATGAGGTTAAATTAGGAGGGGAAATCATGTCGAAGATAAATGTCATCTTTCTTGTTCATCTGTGGGTAATAGAAGGGGAAAAAATGAAATTAAAAGTTTCTTGAAACAAGAATAAAAACACAACACACCAAAAGCTCTGGGATACAGCAAAGGCACTACTCAAAAGTCAGTTCATAACAAAAAAGAAAACCCAACAAAAAGGGAAGAATCAACAACCTACTCCAACACCTTCAACAAAAAGTACAGCAAGCAAATTCTACACCCTCTAAAGAAATGGAAATTCTAAAGATACAGGTAGAAATAGAAAATAGAAAAAGTATGTAAACTATCAACAATTTCAGGAATTGTTTTGTTGAAAAAGTCAATAAAACTGGCAAATACTGGGGGGAAAAACAATAAAAAAAGTTTTTAAAAAAAATTGACAAACTCTGGTAAATCTAGCAAAGGAGAAGAAAAAAAAGATACAAATAACAAGAAAAAGAAATCAAATCGTCAACATAAAACAAAACCAACCAAAATAAAAAAGATAACAAGTAAATATTATGAAAAGCCACATTGTATTCCATCATGCTCGAACCAACTCATAGGTGACCCTCTGACAGATTTTCAGACACTGTAAATTGCATAAGAGGATCACTCATCTCCTGATCGAGTCTCTGCAACGGGAAACTGCTGCTTTGGCCTCAAAAACAGCTGAGGTGCTTGGCTGAGTCTCCTGCTCACTCTGCTGGTCATCCACTCCTATATGTATCAGAGAAGAAGCAGAGATTACTGTGTGGTGGTGCTCCGCTCTATGGGCCTATGGAAGAGGACTCAGGCACAGAGATGGGGGTGCAGCACCTTCCACAACAACCACTTGCCAACCCCAAAAGGTAGACAGTTCAAATCCACTGGCTGCTCTGCAGGACAATGATGGGAATGCACCCCCCCCCCCATCTGAGTGTGCACCTACTCTTTGGGTTGGCAGCACAATTCTTTACCACAAGGCTACCAGAGGTATGCTCCTACAAATTTGAAAACCTAGAGGAAATGGACAAATTCTTAAAAACTAACACCCTACCCAAAGTAACACAGAAGTATAGCACTTGAGCAGAGCCATCACAAAAGGAGAAACTGAGTAGTGCTCGACTCAACGGCAATCAACAACAACATATTGTTATGTATGCCCTCAAGTAGATGACAACTCATAGCAACCCTATGAACAATAGCTCTAAACCCTGCTCTATCTTGAGCCAACAGGTGGCGATTGTGAGAGACAGTTCACTCTCTCTGACACACGTGCTCCCATTATAGCCATTGTTCTATCCAAGGTCTTCCTCTCCTGCATTGACCCTCCACCCTTCCATGCACGGTGTCCTTCTCTAAGAATTAATCCCTCCTGGCAACATGAAAAGTATGTGAGACAG